CGGCCCCATCGACATGGGGAGGTGAAAACAGCTAAGCTGAGGGAGACGTAGAAAGTGTGGGCTAGCGGCCACACCTGACGTCCAGTGAGGCTAAAGAGGTATTTCCTTCCACTTCAGGGAAATGTGTTTAGTATAATATAATCCATGAGTGTTTAAATTAATGCTGAGCATGTGAGAAAGGGCAAAGCAGACTTAGAGCTAAGCATCCTATTCAGGACACTAGCTTGGGGCCCTCTTGTCTCTGGAGGGAGAGAAAAAAATCATCTATTTCTTTTAACTGCTTGTAGCTCTCTCTTAAAATTAAATAAAAATAATAAGTAAAACATCACAGTTTAACTCTGCATATTAGCCCTAGCAAACGATACTACCTTAAAAAAACCCACCTAATATAGTAAACGTGTTCCGCTGGGAGAAAGCCCAACAGCCTGCCCTCTCGCGTAGCAGACTATTAAGTCTCCGCTCCTCCAGAGTTCTGAACGACCGACCGTCTGCCCAGCTTCATTCTCAAAGAAGCGAATCAAGTCCATTTTTTTATATCTATTCATAACAGTAAGTTCTAAAACAAAGATATCCTATCCAGAGTAGCTCATCTAATTGCATTGCATCTCAGATATTAATAAAGAAAATTAAATGGATTGTGTTCATTAAATCCAACCACATATTTGTGATAACCTAAAAGTACATGATGTAATGTTAATTCAGCAAAAATATCTTTGTAATTTCAGGTTTAGCAATTTATTGTTGGATTTTAAAAGTTCATGTTCCCAATCCTCTATTTAAATGGAGTCTTGGGAACCATGAAGCATGAATTTCAACAATTATCACATTTTCATCGATAGCCCCCATTTATCTAATAACATTAATACTTGGATGCCATTTGTTGAGAAATATTTATTAATTCAGAGGCTTTGATATTTTAAAAAATCTTTTCCCTCAACATAAACCTACTTCTGAATTAAGAAGTTTTACTAATATTAACGCTTCTATGCCTAATCTCATTTATAATTAGATAACAATGAAAACATCTTCAATTTTTAAATATTTTCCTGAAATCAAAGGACCTAAGAATAGATTAGTGTCTATCTAAGCCACATAACTGACTTTTGGATTTTTAAAAAATTATCTGGTCATGTCCATTCAACAGCAGCATCGAATGGCTCACTTTTAAAGTTCACCCACAAAACAACTTTAATTTGATAGTCAAATAATCCATCTTTAGAAACCTCAAAACTAAATAAACATACCTTATTTGACATTTCCACATTGAAATGAACTCCTTTCAACATAGCCATTTAAAAAATCTTTTATTTGGTCCCCAATAATCGCAAAACCTATTCTTTTTGTGCCAAATTGAAAGTCTATTCACCACTCAGGCTAGAGTAAAATAATGTGGAATCTTCTGTCTATATAATTAGTATTAAAGAACAAATGTTTCTAACAAGTATATCATTAAAAAGCATTTGCACATTAGCAACTAGAAGTTTTCACTTAACACCTCTATAAACAAGTTATATGTACTCAAACAGAGAAAAATAAACAACCCAATTACATCCTGGCGCTCTCTTCAAGGATATTTCATATAGGGTTGCTTCAAGTCCTCTGTGAAATGAGCAGGCAACGTAAATATACATAAATAAATATGAATAAAATTATTAACATAGCAGCTTCTTATTTATTTAAGTATGATCAAAGAAAGAAGCTCCAAGCACTTATCGAAGGTGCTGGTGAGTCTCCGTGTGGTGGGGCAAGACGTGCGCAGGTCTTACAACACAGGTGTGGAGGCCCAACACCTCCAGCAGAACCCTCGCGCCACGGTTTTTACATTAAATTAGCTTTTAGCCGGTTACTCAAACTCTCTGAATCCCAACTGCCTCTCCTGCAAAATGGAACTCTAAGAGAACCTTCCTCTCTGGGGTTTTCTGAGGATTGTATAAGGTTATCCATGTGAAAGCACCTAGAACAGCGCCTGATGTTCACTCACACAGCAAACAATAAATGGAACCATTATTATCACTATCTCAGTGTACTGTAAAAACACAACTGATTGTAAAGGTAGTTGAATAAATTCAATTCTTCTGCACACAAATGAGTCCACTGGGCAGACCCCAAGCCAGCCTAGTGAACCCCTATATTCAGACCATGAGTCTCAGCCTCTATTCATTGGACATTAAGCGGCCTCTCACTGCCAGCATATATCTGCTCGGAACAACCAAAAGAACAATCTGGTTACTCACACTATATCACATTAATATGTAAATTCATCGCTCCAGCAAGAAAATCACAAACAAGTAGTTCATTCATGACTCATTTTATTCATGACAATCTCAAACTTGTCACCCAAAAATTGGATTTTATAGCTACAGTTAAATGAAGTAAACACAGTCACATCCAAATTCATTCAGTGGTGTCCAAAAAAACTAATATAAACAAACTATCTGAGAGGAGAAGATATAGTTAGTCCACTAAACATGGATTGTCAAATACTGAGGAGAAAATGCATCATTATTTTGAAGAGAACAAGTATAAATGATGAGCAAGCACTATTAATTTACACAAGCAATATCCCTTTGTTTTATGACTACATTCAATAACTGCACATAGGTCAGTCTTAAAAACATGTGAAAGAGGAAGTTTCATCCTCAAAAAAAAATCCTCACATTTATTGCAAAACTTCTGGATAATAAAAAGATAAAAGGTTATAATGGAATGCAGTAGTTTTTTCTGCTTAAAATGAATTTTAAGAGAGAACTCCTTTTTCCTCTAAGGTTGGCTTATAATTAGAAATTAGATTCCTCAATAATTCAAAGGCCAAAACCTTTATTAAAATCAAATGACCTTTTTAATTAAATTTTCTCCTAATACATAGACCCTGTTAGGCAGGTGTCATCTCTACAGATAATAAACCCTTTACATATTTATTAAATGAGTTTTTCCCTCTTTGTTCATCCTTTGATTTCACATTCTGACAGTTATCAATTATTGGTAAAATTTTAAAAAGTATGACATTATTAATGTATTCTGGTAAATGCTCTGCTTTGTACAATATTTATAACATCCCTATCTTTCATTCTATTTTGAAAAATGTTTAAACTATTTTATTCTTCCATATCTCTTTTTTAAAATTCACATTTCAAAGTATATAGCTTGTGTGGAGGAATCTGTACAATTTTATTATGCTATTAAAAAGTGTATTTGGATGTGAAAACCTAAAGAATAGAATAAGATATGTGCATAAAACTGACATTAGCTTCAAAAGCTCTTGCCACAAACAATGTATTTATAATACAGGCTCATCCAACTAAATATATGAAAGATGCATAAAAATATATAATTGCACTTGAATTACAATTTTAATCTTTAGGTATTTGTTTAAAAACCAAAAGTAGTTAAACGACTACTAAGGCATCATGTTAAATGCTCTGGAGTTTGAAAACCCAAAAATACATTGTCATTGAACATGGTTTTTCCTATGGGTACCACTTTAAATTTAGTGAATTTCATTAGCAATAAATCAAAGAAAGTAAAAACCCTTAAGTGTGTGTGACTGTTGTGTGTATGTGTTTGAAATACCTATTCCTTCACCACTTCATGTCTACGATGACGTAGGCAAAATGCTTCACCATCACCGTTCTCATCACTCAAAAAAAGGATAAAAACCAATGCAAGGTGATTAGGTGACTTACTCAAAAATGCCAGCCAATTGTCAGCAATTTCACTTTTTTTATTAGGTTTCTTGGCTTTGTAGTTCGGGTGTGGGGCCCGACAAAATAGCGCCATCCGAGACATAGAGCATCATCTGAGAGGACAGAAAATGCACTTGACAGACACTAACATTCACAAGGGAGGCGTGGGAGTATCTAAATCACCACCGAACACTAACAACAACAACGGAACAGGACAGGACCATTCTGAATCCCAAATCACTAACCAGCCAAATAAAAAGAGTCAAGCGCAACCTCTGGTCGCCCTCCCTCCAGCCCATTCCTCCGCTGTGTCTCTCTACCTGGAGACAGGTTCTGGCTAAAGCTTCCAAACGCGCTTGTCTTAGCAAACGTCTGCGCTCCTCAGGCAAGGCCCCTAAGGTAACTTAATCCCTTCTGAATTGCTCAGTGGAAGAAATGCCGTTCCCAATTCAAAACTAAATTATTTAGCTTTTTCTGTGCTATGGGGCATGAAGAAACCCCTAGCTACAATTTAGATGCAGCCTGTTTATCTTGACGACTCGCGGGGCAAATCAGAGCTCAGGGGACGGAAGATGTTGCTGGGGGAGGGGGCGCAGAGAGCAGGCGAGGAAGACGCGGTCAGTTCGGAGATGATGCAGGAATGACATGGCACCTGGACAGCCCAGGTCCCATCCGCCGCCCGCCCGCTGGCTCAGAGTCTGTGCCTCGGTTTCTCCGGCATGCGCCCAGAGCTGGGAGTAGGTGCGCACGCAAACACACCAGCTTTTATTCTGGACTCCCCGCGAGGAGAGTGGTGGGGAAGCGTCGCTGGATAACGCCTCGCCACAACAAACGAGGTCTTTCTCCTCGCACCCCGCCTCCTCTGCCAGGGGCAGGCGACGACTGTCTCGAACAGCAGACGCAGCTGAGAGAGCGGAGCATCCTCTCGGGGGGCGGGGGAGATAAACCCCACCGCCCCGCGAGCCCCTGGGGAGGCCGGCAGGGAAAGGAAGGTCGTGGAGCCGGGAACACAGGGGACAGGGGACTGGGACGTGCCCGCGCGCCACGCGTCCGGCTGCCCGGGGCTGGCGTGCGCGGCTGGGGAAGTCAATCCTGGGGCGGACGCCTCCCCGACTCCCGGCCGGAGGACGCGGAGGAAATGGCTTTGTATCGCAGGATGAAAGGCAGGCAGGAGGGCCACCAGGCGGGGGGGACAGAGGATGCCCGCAGCGGAGGACCTCGCCCGCGCCCCGGACCCCGCTGCTCTGCCCCGCGTTCCGCAGCAGCCCCAGGTCCCCTCGGGCCACAGCGGGTCGCCACCCCCGTGCCCGCGCTCACCTGCCCACGAAGTTCTCGAGCACCGAGCTCTTGCCCGCGCTCTGGCCGCCCACCACCGCGATCTGCGGCAGCTCCAGCAGGCAGCTCTGCCCCAGCGCGGAGAAGGCGTCCTGCAGGCGGTTCACCAGGGGGATCAGCTCCTCCATCTCCCGGTTCCCCATCCTGCCCGCGCCCGCGCCACCCGCAGGCCGCCACGGGGTTCAGGCAGCCCAGTCCAGCCCCGCCGTGGGATCCGCCGCCCGCTGGCCCCAGCTGAGCTCCTGACAGCTAACAGCCCACAGCGCGCCTGCGCGGGCGGGAGGGGCGGGGCCTGGCTCTGACCCCACCCCGCCCCGCCGGCCCCGCCCGCGTTCCCAAGCTTCCCAGACAGACATCCTGCGCCCCGGGCGCACGCACTGCCTCCCAGCTGCGGCCAGATGCCACCGCCTCCGGCTCCTGCTGCCAAGGCTGAGAAGCAAAGTTGGAGGCCTGGGTCAGCACACAAGTGACACTGATCGCTTTCAGCAGCTACACAGGAGGAGTCTGGGGGAACGCTCTGCCACCGCTAACAACTCAGCACTGTCACCAGCAGCAGCCACCAGTGCCCCGCCCCAGAGTACAGTCCCAAAAGGAAATCCCACGTTCTCACGCCCCACTCCAGAACTCGGCTCTTCCTGGGGTGGCCAGCCTGTTGGAGTCTAAATTCCCCGGTCTGGCATCCAAGTCAGGCCCTGCGTAGTCTGACTCCAACTAATCATTCAACTTTAACGACTCCGGCGTCCCCGGCCGCCTACGCTATGGTGGAGTCCGTGGTTCTTGCCACCTCCCCGCCTCACCATCTCCCTCTCCAGTTCACCAAGCTCATCCAGTCCTTCGTGAGTCCTCACGCCACTTCTCCTCCCTCCCTACTCCCCTCTACAGGGTCCATCAACAACCATGGCCATGTCCTCTGCACCCATTCGGTTAACGCAGGAAGTTGAGAAGGCCTGCCGTTGGGTCCTGTGTCTGAGGACGGAGACACAATGATAAATGGACATGCTCCTCTCCGTCTCCTTCGAGATTTCCTCTTTTGAAATATCAGTAATTGTCAGGACTTCATTTGTGGGCCTTCCCCTGTCCCACGCATCGCCCTCTCCCTGGGGCCGCCCCCAGGGCTGTAACTCCTGCCACAGCTGAACTGCTGGCCCGCCTCCCACTCCCCGCCCCAGGCTGGAGCCACTGGGCCGGGGCCTCACTGCCTGAACGTCCTACACGTCCCTCTGACCTAACTCATTCAAAACTGTTTTTTTAGTCTCAGCTTTTAATGCTATAAATTTTCCTCCAACCTGAAAAAGACTTTTGTAAAAAACCTGTAACAAAAAAACTTAAGAATCCAAATGTCCATCAAAAAGCGAGTCAATAAACACGTATGGGATGTGCATACAGTGAAATCATCTCAGCAAGAAGGAGGCGTGAACGAAACCAACGAATCTCAGGTGCATTGTGTTGATTGAAAGAAGCCAGAGGGCATATTGTGTGACTCCATATACAAAGTTCTAGAATAGGCAACTCTATTCTGTCGTGTTAGAAATCAGAGCAGTGTGTGCCTTCGAAAGGTGCGGGGTGACTGCAAGAGGCAGGGGGCACTTTTGTGGAGGTGATGGAACATGCTATGTTGTGATCTGGGTGCGAGGATACATTTGCCAGAACTCATCAACCGTAACACATACACTTTGTGCATTCCACTGTAAATTAGACCTCAACTTTTTTTTAAAAAGGAAAGAAAAACAAGTAACACTGAACATATCATCTTCTCTACTGAAGTGAGTCCCCATCGGCATGCTGCCCGGCATGGCTGGTCTAAGAATCCCTCCTTCATCCACCGCATGGTTGTAGCCAGAGCGTCACGAAGACAGCAGGGCATGAAGGGCAACTAATTGTGCCCTGGCCACAGCCTCTTCTATCAGGGGACATCTGACCCAAGTTGTAGCAATTAGAGCCCTTTCCAAGGACTATAAATTTGGAAGGGAGGGGGAGAGAGAGATTTGTCTTTGTCTGAGTGACTGAACTATGATTTATGTAAAATCTGGGCTGTAAAATCTTGGAACTACAGTTAGTAATGTTTTCACTGGCAAAGAGATGTAAAAGATGCCAGTCTTTGGAGAAAGGGAAAACGAAAGGACAGAGAGGAGCAGAGGGAAGCAGAGAGCAATCCAGGTGGAACCTGGGTCCTCCTTCAGATGGTCAGCTACAATCCTGCCAGAAGTTCCATGAGCCAGACTCCCCTCAAAAACTTATAATAAATACCCCCTTTGCCTAACTTAATTCAATTTGTATTTCTTTTGCTTGCAACCAAAGAATCCCAATAAATATGCCCTCTAGTGTGCTCCCTACCTGGGCAAGAGGTCCCCCAGTCACAATGCAGAATCTGGAAGTCAACCTAATTCATTCTCATTCCCATTCCCATTCCCAGTCTCAGTCCCATTCCCATCCTCCCTCCCTCCCTCCGTCCCTCCCTCCCTCCCTCTCTCTCCTTCATCCCTTACAGCAAGTCAGTTCCAAAATCATGCCCGTCTACCCCCCTGGAACTCACCTCCTCCTCTTTCTCTTTGTTGCCAGTGCTTTGTTTGTAACTACCATCTGTTGAATCCTCTTCTCTACTTCCGTATGTGTGTGCCCTGAGTAGGTTTTCATTATTGCACTTGACACATCGCGCTGTCTCCAATCTATGTGTCTCTCTTCTCCACTAACTTGGTAGGCAGAATAATGCTCCCCCAACAGATGTCCCCCTTCCAACCCCCAGACCTGTGGAAATGTTACCTGATAGGGCGAACGGGGCTTTACAGCTGTGATTAAATCAGGGGCCTTGGGATGGGGAGCTAACGCTGCATTATCTGCGCGGGCTCAGTTGCACCATATGCTCCTTAAGGGCAGAGAGCCTTTCCCGGCCCTGTCGGAGGGAGACGTGACTAAAGAGGAGTGGCCACGGAGGTGGTGCAGCTTTGCTGGCTTTGAAGATGGGGAAAGAAAGCCCACAAGCCAAGGCATGCAGGCAGCCTCAGGAAGCTGGAAAAGACTAAGATACAAGTTCTCCCCTAGAGCCTCCAGAAGGCCCAGAGCCCCGCCAGCGCCTTGATTTCAGCCCAGTGGGATCTGCGCTGGACTTCTAATCTGCGGAATTGTAAGATAATGAATGTGTGCTGTTTTAAACCACTAAGCTGTGGTAATTTGTTACAGCAGCCATGAAAAACTGATACAACGAATGACAAGCTCCTCAAGGACAAGATCGGTCTTTGTGATTCTCAATGCCTGAGCACAGGGCTTAGCACTTAAGAAGACCATCGTCTACCCGAGACAGACATAAACGAATTATTACAGCACATGTATTACAGCACTAAGGGATACAGACTGAACTGTGTCTTCTCAAACTTCATTGGTGGAAGCCGCAACCCTCAGTGTGGCTGCAGTTAGAGTAAAGAAGCAATTAATGTTAAATGGGGTCATAAGGGCAGAGCCCTAATCCAACTGGATTAGTGCCCCTACAAGTGGAGACACCAGGGCCCTATCTATGATCGATCTATCTGAGGACAGGTAAAAAGGCCGCTATCTCCAAGGTAGGAAGAGAGTCCTCACCGGGAAATGAATCAACCAGCACCTGGACCTTGGACTCCCCAGCCTCCCGAATTTTGAGAAAATGAACTTCTGCCATTTAAGCCACCCAGTGGACGGTATTTTGTTATGGCCACCTGAGCACACTGAGACACAGGGTCTGTGTAAAAGCACGGGAGACGGAAGTCAAGGAGTAACAATTCCGTCTGGAGAGGGTCCTGGAAGGGGGAAGGTAGCAGAGAAGAGGCAACTTGGGGTGGGCCTTGAGGAGGACATCCGGCACTCTGCCGCGCGCTGCGGCGGACACGAGTGGTGCAGAAGCAGTAGCCTTGGTTTCTAACGTAGGAGACAATGCCGCATTAGACAGAGCATATAACCATTACACAGAACAGAAGTTCATGAGCACTCAAGCAATGCATGTCATTTCCATGCTCCGGGACGCAGTTCAAATCAGTCCTGCCCACCTACTCCAAGAAGCCATCCTGGCCTTCTCTAGCTGATGGCTTTCTGCCTTTTCTTCACATTGCCAGAATTATTCCTGCAACACACACACAGACACACTCAACACCCTTTTCTTTTAAGTTATTACTGGGCAAATGAAGAGTGAGAGGAAGCTGGAAGGGAAGAAGCAGAGGGGAAATTGTGACAGAAGGACAACCTACTCCTTTGAGGGTGGGTTACAGCTGGGTGGGCGGCCCGGTCAGGCACCCAGCTCCCTGACTGCGTCACAGGTCACCTGGGCGCCGCTGTGGTACCAAGTAACGAATACCACGCCCAGTCTCTGGCTATCGCATTTTTTCCACAGCCTCTTTGAGGCGTGGTTCTCTATCTAAGAAGTTAGGACTGTTTCAAAACACATCAGGGCTCTTATATCTAAATAAGTACTTTCCTCCGGGGTCATTTTGAAAGTGACTGACTGATTGCAGTAATACTGCATTTCGCGCAGTATCATGTAGCTCCTCCTCTGAAAATGATGAACCACACCCAAAAAAAGAAAACTCAGTGTTCCACAATCGCACAGCACTTTCATGAACAGAATATTATTCATATTGCGCTCCTACCCCATTCACAGGCCTTACTCAAGTAACTCTTAGCTAACTCTAAACATTAAATCTACACTATATATGTTTTATACATACACACGTGGTATATACATGTATTTTTAAATATGCTACAGGCTGAGGGCATGCTCCAAGCGAGGAGTCAGAAAGTTTTGGAGAGGTGAAAACACCCCTGGAAAAAGATTTAACCCCTCACAGAAGAACACAAACTTGAATCTATTCATTCAGGGATTCATGTTTTTTAAAAATCAGTCACATTACTGCAGAGACACATTTCACGCACTTCCCACAGCAACCAGCTTGGTGCTCAACAAATATTTACAAAGCAGAGCTGAACCGAGACTCCACGTGTTCGCTGCGCGGAGCCGTTCACTGTGAGAGTCAACGGATAAATGACATAATTACTCTGCGTTTGCTTTAGGGCCTGTTCCAGTCCTTCAGTTCTCTCTCAGGAGGGTTATCTCGGGGGTGAGCTTTAGGTCTTACTGCGGATCAGCTTGTCCTCAGGCAGATGCTGAATCCTGTTAAAGCCAGGGAGCCTCCCATACAGACATACAGACACTCAGTGCTAGATAGCCTCTGCAGTTGACGCATCAATTAGGGCTCCT